GAAACTACAGTTCAGATTGTTCAGAGTGGTGCTGAAATATTGGGAAAAAAGCATGTTGCTCTCTTACTGTTCGTGGATGCAGGGCAAATTTTTGAGAAGTTTTTATTGACGTTCACCGATTCTTGGCTTGATCAACTAAAACTTCGCTGGGCTCATATTCGTCAACATGGACCCAGTGAAGTTTTTGCTCGTGAGCTCACGAGGCATTTTTCCTCATTGGTTTCAATAAGAATTCTGAGGAAAAAATTGGAATGAACAACCCAAAAACGGGGTTAAACCTAACAGCATCATTGAGTGATGAATAAAGTTGTTGAAGTGTCAATGCGATTGCGCTTTGAGTTGAATTTATATTCTCTGCAGTTTTCCATTTACGACCATCTCCATCCGCATAAAGAAATTCCAGTCCTGATTGAGCCGATGGATCGCCTTCTAATATGGGCAGTTTATAACCGACGAACCTAGAAAATGTATCAATCCGAAACGATCAATTCAACTGTAGTGAGTCTATCTTTCATGCATTATTTTGCCTTTAGATCACAACTCCCACTTATACAATTTCATTTCAGTTTTTCACTAGAATCATATTGAGTCTGCTTTCGGTAGTCCTTCAACTCACGATCGATGATTATCATACTCTTACGGGAATACTCAACTTTTATTAAGTTTTAGCACTGATTCGTAGCAATACTTTTTAACATGGCTGCAGTTGGGTTTCAAATGAATTGCGATGACTATATAAATGTTTATTTGTGTAAAACTATTTTACATGGAAAACATATTGAAAATATTACCAATCAACGAGTGCACCTTGCGAATTACGACACGAAGCCGATGACGATACTGCACTTATGGAAAATATTGCAACACAAATAAATTGAATCATCATTTTCAACAAACCACTCAACAACTAATGGTGAGACTGAGCTTGCAATACAGAACAATAATCGAACTGCTAATTTAACCACCAATAAAGCAGTTTGCTAAAATTTAAAAAACAATGACAATGCAATACGTCACGTTAGAATCAAGAGCAAAGAGCAACAGAAAACAGCCAGCACAGCATTATAATCGGCTTACTACCGTTTATAATCAAGTGAAGTGATCAATCATAAACAAGATTGCAAAATAAAGCGTAGACAAAAGTAATTGATATATGTGATAAGATGCAGACATGACGCAATTCGATATTCCCCAGCGCTCTTGATCAGTTGACATCTAACAAGTGGAGCAACTGACCGCGCTAGCAAACAAGCATATCATCTGATCGTAGCATATCGGAATATGTTGAGAGAGACGGCAACATGACATTAAATTACAGCATAAATGATCGATCATCTTTAAAAATATCAGCTGCTTTTGTTAAGATGCAGATGAAAACAAACGTTTAAGGAGCAATCAACACTCAAAAAAAGAGCAGAACAAACGTTTTGCTATACACTAGCGATCATAATAACTTAATTAATTAAATCAACATGAGCCGGAACCAGTTTCAAGGTGATGTTTTGGATTGCTTTTCAAGTGTGTGAATTGTGAATTCGCTTCCATCATAGCTCATAGGTTTTCGCTGACACAAATTACATAATACATGCTACAAATTCACAGTTTAGAATCCTCAAAAATCAACCCCAACAATATGCATAATTTCACTATTCATCACGGTGAGCGGCTCATAAAGCAGAAACGTCAGACTGTTCAGTGGTATTTGAATCGCGTGCTGAAGGTGAAACAATTCTGGGTGATGGTGGTAATCCCATTCGAGGCTGAACTTCGGCTTCATCACCACCTTCCATATCGACAGGCTTTGCCTTGATCTAGAATCAAAGATCCAATTGATCACTGTGAAGATATGTGATAAAAACTGATTTTAACCTCTTCATCCACCGGAAAGTTTTCGTGGGAACAGCAATTTCGAAAACATTTTACACCACAAACTCATGCCTTTATAAATCTAGAAAGTAAGTAATTTGATCCATTCGCTTCGGTTTTTCGCAGCTGCATTTAGGGAAAAAACAAATTAAATTTAGATGAAAGTGAATTTATTAAGTATTAACTTTATTAGCCAATTTCAGTAATGCATCCTCCATCGCATCGATATCTTCATTCTTCAATTCGAGTTCAGTAGGTGGCCTTCTGAACATTGCTGTATGATCGATTTATTAGTGCTGATTGCACTTGACTGACATTTCTTAAAGTAGTTTCATGAAGTGATCGGCATTAAATTTATTCAAACGAACAATAATACGCGTTCAAGAAAGCACAATGATTGAACCTTGAAACGACCTTCGATGAAAGCAGCAGTTTAAATCACTGAGCATTTCACGTCCTTATGATTCAGTAGCTCATCCAAATGATAGATTCATTAAGTTCACCAATGCATAAAAATATCATTAAAACAATTAATATTAGACTATGTATGGAGAACTAATTAAAGCAATAAAAAAAACCGCTAACAATAATTACGAATAAAGCAGACTAAACGCAAAAAATAAAGTCTCCGTTGGGCAATATGGGAGAGTAGCCCTACACCTCTGTGCTCGCCGGATCAATAATATAGGTTAGAATTTCATGAAGACAGATGATTCTCAGCGATACTGGGAATCATCTGTCTTCATGCGGAGAAAAGAACGTCAACGAAGGAAAATGGTGATAACAGAGAGACAATTGCTGGTTGATGCAGCGATGATGTTTCATGGTCATCGATTCAGTGATGGAATAATTTGATTTGAAATGAAGTCATCTTGTTTGTAAGCATAGAATAATTTATTGCGATGCTTCGCCTGGCACATCCAAGAGGTGGGATAAACGTGAAGAAATTTTCTGATGAGATGGTTGGTCACCAACGAATTAATAATTTTAAATGTCATCGTAATATCAAAATGCAAACATCGAATTTCAAGCACCTTTAATCCATCNAACACGTGTAGGGTTCCATATAATAGTGCTATATTCAAGTATAGCGCGAATCTACGTTCTAACAAACTTAATAAAAGGTTGATTTTGTTCGTTATGCATGCTTTCAGTATAATTTTGACTCTATTATTTGTACTACCGATCAGTCAATTAATTATCAGTTATCGATACCCATTACGAATACAAGAATTCTACTGATTACACATACCATCCTAGATGAAACTGATGCGAATAGGCGACTGCTAACGGGGGAAACACTCAAAAAGGGCAGGAACTAATAAGCTTGAGGCGAAACCTAATTAAGGATGACGCTAAGGAGATCAGCTGATGCCAAAATGTTTCTTTTATGGTGAATCTGAAGGTGAAACTACTAGAGTTGCCATTCGATCGCTTGCATCTCTTACGTTCTAACTAAACATTCATAAAAACAAACTGAAAAATCATTAGCGGTGAAAATAAAAATCACAACTTCATTTGACCAAAAAAAATTTTCCACACAGACTGAAATAAATAACAGAGCGATAAAACTGAGCGAATTGCATCGACATTCCTTGAATATTTCAAAAATAAA